CCTATGCAAACGCCATTATTTGGGAAAGCTGATTTGATCACCGTACGTAGCACGGTCCACTCCTACTATATACCACCCATGGAAGATTCCAGAGCATTCGGGAGAAATCCAGAAAGAGCGCGAATTGAGTGTTTCAGAACTTTCTTTCCAACCTAATATTTTGTTTTGCCCACATGCGCCATAGGTACCTTAAAGATGAAACACTAGCGCAGAAAGGGAATCCCAAGAAGACTCTTAGATAGCATGAGATCTGCACTCTAGATATGCACTAGAAGTACTGAAATGAAATGTGGAAGTTATAATAGAAACGAAATGGACAGTTACAAGGACGCAACTGAGCCAGGCTTGATAGAAGACTTTCAATGAATGCTGTTTACTCGTACGCTGAAACTCAAAGAGACAACAGTGTGCGTGTACATACATAGAACTGAGCAGAAATCAAATTCCCATTCGAGTGTTTTTTCTTGATGGGTCATCTGGCCAACTTTTGACAGTACAGTTTTTCGCTATTGCTGCGAAATTAATGGGAATTAGATTTGAGAATGTTATTTCCACGAATTGAGATCATTTTCACTCAATGCGGCTTACCGTCTAGACAAGTGACCCTAAACAGGCAAGTTCACGGAGCTTCTTGTTTCTCTTGGAGTTTTCAGTTTTAGTTCTCTTGGAGTGCATTTAAAATCTGAATAAGATTTAAAGCGCTAGACTGCGTTACTTGTCATGGCTACATTAAGAATGAAGCAATAAAAGAAGTCGAATTAAAGGCGAATTCCACCGTAAGGTCAAAGTCGAAGAAGTTGAATCTTCCTTAGAGAAAAGCCAGGCGGACCCTTAAGAATGCGAACCAGCACGGAATTTGCAGCGAAGGATATGCCCCCTAGCATGGCCGTTTCCGCGGCGCTGTAGGGTCGGTGCGCCTTCCTCTCGCCGTCTGACCCTCTGCCATTTAGCAGAGAGCGCGTTAGCGGACGAGCCTACTAGTGAATGAGGTATCGAGACTTTCGTTAGTTGACTAGAAACTTCACGCATGCCTGAGGTGCATGTGGTACAGTGGACGCTCACAAGTGACCCAGCTTTGTGTGCAGCTTTACTGTGTTCAGTGCAAGAACTAAGGAGACAAGGAAAGGAACACACCAGATCGTTGCCATGGATCGTCACCGTTTCTCGTGCCATTCGACGACACCGCACGGAATTTGCCGCTAAAGAAAAGCGAAGGATTACGTGACAAGAGGCAGAAGGTAATATGCACGACGTCACGGCTCACAGCACGCCACTAAACGTTCCATGCAACTTACTTTTCATAGAACTGAATGAATTGCAGTTCAGATCTAAAACGAAACAAAGCTCTCCAGACCTCTGTTATGTATAAATGTGGGCGAAGTATGGTCGGGTTTTTGTCGGAACCTTACTAATAAATATAAGCTTGGCGCCTCAAGGAATTATTGATCGGATAAGATATTGTAATGGTTGAAGTAGGGTCAACTGTCCGTTCGTAGTGTTCGATCGAGGGGGTCGCATTTGTGTTTTGGGGAAGGGGTATGTGGCATTTCGGGTTGAGCAAGGATAACTTCCACTAAGAAAATCTAAACGTTGGTCACTGAAAAAGGGGTGAAATTGGATGGGATTTGATGGGTTATTTTTGGCGATGAGACTTCCCCCCTCCCCAGCCCTCCTCCTGCTCCTCGACGGCCGTTCGAAGGAAAAGAAGCGGGTGGAGTTGGGTTGCGTCGAAGCTGTAAGAAATCAAAATAAATTACTGAAAACATGGTGATGGTTGCTGTGAGTACAGTGAGCGGGATGTAGCAGGCTGGTTTATAGGGGGAACAATTATAGCTGGTGGTGGTGTGGATGTATCAAGACCACCCCTCCCACCTAAACGGGAGTGGTCGCGAAGTTTTGAGAAATGTGCGATTGCGACGGTTGACCCTGGGTTGAAAGGAAATTCTGCGATCGAATAGGTGGTATCGCCCAACTCGTGGTATTCCAAGTCAGCTAATAAAGAAGAGCAAAAAAACTGCTGATTTGTTAAGAACGCTCTTAATCACTTGGCGCTGATCGTATGGGTGGCTCCAGACCGACTACTGCCGTTCTATTATTGGTTGACCCTCTTCTTGGAATGGTGAGGAACGGCGAGGATTTGGATCTAACCAATAAAATGGGTGTGAGTTGAGCAGGTACCGCCCATACGAGTTTAGTGATTTTGAGGGATCTTGGCAGTTTCGGCTACACTCTTTCCTTGCCCAGCGGCCCAAAAATACTACTAATTAATGTTCTGCACGCAGACACTTGTATGGTAAAAAAAACGCAGCCGGAAAGTGAAGCGGAGCACCCCAGCGCCAGCTCCCTATGTATCTCTGTTATGAAAAACGGGCAGGAAACTTGACTTGGATCTCGTCCGCACTTTCGACAGGCATTTGTCTGGGCTATTGGCCCTCTCCTGAGTTCTCTGGCGATGATGGCGGGCATTGTGCGCTTGCACGCCCACCCGCCGCAAATAGGACTTCTGAAAAGGATGAAGGCTTTTTGAAGCCATAGTTTCACATAAGAAGGTCAGAATTGAAAGCAAGACACGCTTTATTGCCCGAGTGAGCATGTCTATGATCACGTGTAAATGCAACTATATAGAAGCGCAGTGCTCTCGCGAACCAACCTGCTCCTCCTCGGTCAATTCACTCAGTTTGTTCTTATGAGGTGTCATCACGATCTCGTGGCGATTCTTCACCAAGCTGTAACAGATTATCTCTGAAGCGTTGAACGAGCAGCTGTACTTCAAAACTTTTCATGAATTGCTGGTTCCCCTTACCAAACACATTGGAAGACCATGTTAAAGGAGAATCTTACGATAAGGTCGAAGTTTGCCTAGTAGGAAGACATGCGGATCCTTTAGGGGTGCGGCAATTCGCAGCAAAGGTTATCCCCCCTTATGGCTGTCCAGGCGGCGCTATCAGCGTGGTACGTTTACCGACTGGCTAATCACTCGCCGCAGGTCTCTAGCGGTTTTGCAGGGAGAGAGAGAGCCTACGCGTTGAAGATGGCAGCACCGATGAGAGTCTCATCAGTGCGGAAATACATGGGCATGGGGAAGCGCGTCTCATTTTTCGGGTAATGGGCTTTTCATGGTTTCTATCACATTGGCCCTAACACTTCTTTAATTCTAAGATGTTTTGGCTTTCTGGCTCGGTGAAGCTCTCATTTTTTTTTAGAGGCACATCCAGCGCTCCAACTATATGGACTGAGCTTGCACTGCGCCTTTGTGAAGAGATCAACGGCCGGTCTCTCTTTTGTCCGTATTTTTACCATCGGAGACCACGACTTGTTGACAGAATTTCTGTTACGAGGCGAGCGCGAAAAGATTGTGTAAGGTCAGAAAACATCGCAGTGGAATCAGTGAAGCAGGATAAAGTACTTACTATGCAATTTCTTGTTCAACGGAACAATTAGGCTCTATTCGGCTCGTCGAAGGGAAGTTCTGAAGTTTTACACTTTCCAGCTTTTTTGGAATTTCGCATCACTTACTTGATCTTGCTGGCGCTTCCCACCAATGGATGCACCGATCGTTCGGCAGATTCGATACTGTAGAGCGGAGCAATTTTATCGATGCCCCAGAAGTCGTCCTTTTTCTGTACGGGGATCCTCGCCAAGTTCTCCTCAACCATCGAGTAGCCGGTCTGAAACACACCTGATCAAAGCTCAGTGACAAATGATTGTTTATCCACCCATGTATCAGCATTTACACCACCACCTGAGATTAGAAGTGAAATTACAGAGGGAAAAGCTCGCACAATGAAAGCCCTGAGGTTGTTTTGTATGTATACTGTCAATGAAAAGATTCTCAGAGCCGCGTCGAGGCGACAGCGCACTGCATAGCTGGCCGCATGCCACTGTGCGTACCTTCTGTTTTGGCGGAAACCGAAGAGTGCAGACCACACACCAGAAGTGACGACGGCTCCCAGGTAAAAATCTGGTGTTTGCCAGGAGCCCGTTGCGCGGCGAGAAAGTGAGCGCCGCGGTAAAGGAAGAGTCGCAGCCGTGCTGTGCTAATAAAGTGAAAGTAGCTATAGCCACAGCTCTATTTAACGACTGACGCCTAACCGCTACACTATCGCCTAGCGCCTTTTTCTTTCGCTGCCGCGATGAGCAACTCTTGGGGGACACTCGATAACTAATGGTTTATAGTGACAGAGCTGATAGAGTTCAGATTGAACGTACAGAAAACAATTGCAACAGCCAATCATTTCATTTTCAGAACACATTTTTAGTTTTGTGGAGACCGTCGTCACTTGTGGTGTGAGATCTGCACTGCACTCGAAGGGGTTCTGGTTGTGTGAAACAAAGGGCAGCTATTGCACTGCAGCGAAACTTCTCAGTGCCCGTCATCCTGTGCGACTTGGTTGATCAGTGAGCAACTCGTCGCCTCGGCACAACTCTGTGGATCTTCTTATGTGGTGCAAAGTTGGCGGGTAAAGTTGAGAGGTTACTATTCAGAACGGAGCCCTGCTGTGGTGCAAACAGACCACTGGTTAATCTAACAGAAAAAGCTACAGAGCGGAGTAGTTAAGAAGCATTGTCATCCATAAAAGGAAAGCACGTTGAGAAAGAGCCTCGAGTGGCGATCGATTGCACAGCGCTAAAGTTCTTCGCTCGATTTAATCCGCTGATCACCACTCGAAGAGAACTACAGCTATTAGGAGTGAAAACGGGCGTCGTTTTGTCACCTTAGTTGGTTTCCACATCGTGTCCACAATTGCTATTCCCGTCTAAAAAGCAGTGGAAATATTCGTTATTGAAAGAACAAGGAAAGATAAATGATAGTGCTTCAAACTGCCCATAAGTGCACAACACACAACACATCAACAATCGCCTGAAGTGGCGTTTTAGCGCCAAGGGAGGATTTATCATGCCGTTAAGGAGAAAGAATCCCAGGTTCACACCGTCAGGCCTACATGTGCACTTGAATATTTGACCTTTCCAAATGTTCGCCACAGATCTGCTCTGAACTTAAACTTCAAACTTAAATTTTTTCTAGGTAACTTGTATGCTTTCCTATGTCTCAGCTAGGTCTAGATAGCTAGGAAAGGAAAAAAGAAGGCTAGGCGCCTATACTACCATTTTGGTGTTACTGAAAAGGAATGCTACTTGTTCGTCTTGTTTTGTATGGCGAAGGTTCCCGAACGCTGCTTGTTTTGGCTACTGGACGAGCTATACTATAGATGGTATGCGTGCCTTCAAATACCGAACGGAACAAGTTTTCAAAATAACCAAGCAATAAACAAGAGTTGCATACTCGCAGAATTCGGTTTCGTGATCTTCGCTGGAATGATAGCGGCTATTTGTTTAACATGTGCAAACGACCTTTAATTGGTTGCTAGCTCGTCCATTATCGGAGGTCAACGGGCAAAGAAAGGGGTCCCATTTTGCGCCTTCTTGACGGATTTCTTTGCTTTTTTCGCCACTGGGGCATTATTCAGCATCCCCACTTCCACTATGAACCCAACCCGATGTAATCCTCGCTTTAAAGGCAAAGTTCGGGCTCAGACCCACTTAATGAGCCTTTACGGTGGCTAGAAGCGCTAGGTACGCAAGTGTAGAGGTCGCGTCACTTCCCTACTTCGAAAAGCGTTACTTAGACGCTAGGCGCTAAGAACTTTGACACGCTCCACCTGTTGCGACACGCTCCGCCCACCGCTCGATATCTTGTCTGCGTCGCTAACTTGGGGCGGTATTCAATCCTTCCCCCAGGGGGATATATCCCCCTACTCTGATTCAATCCTCTGGGGGGACAAAAAAGGGTTGCGTCATAGGACCTAGCATACCTCTGTGTAGTTCACGATTTTTTCTCCTTTCTCCACTTGACGGTCCACTTCCTGCCCTACATACTTTCACTTTTGAGTGGAATTACCTCGTAAATTATTCCTGAATCTTGCCTTTAAGTGAGCGAAAAATGGGAATAATCTAAAAGGGAGCAGGCGGTTGACGGAAAGAGTTTGAGATAGCGGCCTCACTTGCCATTCTGGCCTTTAGCCGAAAAACGGCGTTTGTTAATTGCTTGAATTTTTAGGTGGTCTGAAAGTTGTACGACACATTCGCTATCACTCGCATAACTCGTCTTACAGCTAAACTTAAGAGCCACCCAAAAAACCGATGTGAACAAGAAGGTTTATCGCTAGCTATTCAGTGCTGACCACCCGAAATCTGAGATATAGAGTTTGAGATTCATGGACCACTTGTATTATACAACCTTTATAGCCTCTAAAAATGAGGGCGAAGGGCCAGATTTCCTGGGAATGTGCTAAAAGGGTTACGAAAAACGCATAGAATCTCTTTCAAACTTGCTTCGAATGCCGAATAGATTATGTTGACTAAATATCATTTTGTTTGTCCTGCAACTCGAACGCACCTACGACCTTTTATCGATGACATAGTTACACTCGAGATCGTCGTCATCCTCTCCCAGAGGATTCAGAAGCGCTTCGGCAACCTAAAACGCAATAGAATTAAGCTTGCTCCTGTCACTCGCTTATGAGTTGTACTTTCTAAGACTAGGAACAGATCATAGCTCTCATATGTTGTCTGAAAACAGGGACTGGACAAATATAAGAGCGCCCCGTGTTTGAATTTACCCCAGGATTGTTTCAGAGAGCTTGGACACATATCAGACCTAGAGAGTGTCATGTCGATACTTGAGTCAGCTATTTCCTCTCACTCTCTTTTTTTTATTTCTTAAACCGTTAATTCAAGATTGGCCTGACAAACTTATCGAGTTCTGAGGTAAGGCGGATTGTCCAACATGGATGCACGGGTGGGCGCGGATTACGGCGCGCGCGCGCTACTTCGGCTAGCCACCTAACTGGGAGCTCCGAAGAAGTATGACAGTCGAGATGGGCCTCATGACCCAAAAGTGGACACTGGTTAGTGCTCTGAGGAACTTGATTGTCTGTGAAGAGATTCTTTGAGAGATGATTGAGAGTCCGTTTCTTCACAACGGAAGGTGTGTGTTGGCCCATTCGAATTGAATTCGTACCGTGGACCTATCCTTTTTTAATACAAGTTAAGATGATTTCAGGGTCACTCAAATTAGACCATGATAGACTATCAGCATAACATGTGCAAACGACCTCCTTAATTGGTTGCTAGCTCGTCCATTATCGGAGGTCAACGGGCAAAGAAAGGGGTCCCATTTTGCGCTTCTTGACGGATTTCTTTTGCTTTTTTCGCCACTGGGGCATTATTCAGCATCTCCACTTCCACTATGAACCCAACCCAATCTTATCGTAATCCCTCGCTTTAGGTGTATCCCTTGTGTGGCCGCTTTTGGTGCATGGAAGGGCACATGTTCAGCCTTATTCATAAAAATAAAGCGGCCGGTTACCGTAGTGGAGACAAAAGTTAAAACAGAAACAACTATGAAATACCTTCATCCAACCCATGTACACAATAAATTGAATCATAGTGGTGATCGGAAGCCACAGATCTATCTGAAATAAATACATTATTTATAAGACGCTGCAGTCGTTGTGATTCACTAAGATCGTCTGCAGGATTGAGAGTTGGTGTTACTGGAGGACTGAAGAGAGAAGGAAGAGAAAGGGGGAAGGAAGCAAAAAAAAGTCATTCTTCCTCCACATTAAAACGGTTTTGTTCATTTCCCTGATTTCAACCAACCTCTCCGAGAGAAAATTCAGGACCACTTCCAGAATTTGCTACAGGAATATGGTGCATGGTTCGGAGTCACTAGGCTCTCGAAGGATCGCTAACCATTACGATGTCATCCAAAACGCTGGTCGGGGGGGGGGGGTGGGGGGGGGGTCTGCAGACAGCGCTATGGTCTCTAGGAAGTCCCTTCACTTTACGAAGCAGATGACGTCATACTCTGAAGACGACAAGAGCCGTGAGGGAGGGCGTGCTTCTGCTGGTGGATGGGGGAGGGAAGGAGACATCTACAGAATATTCTAACGTAAAACCTCTATCAACGGCGGCAGTCTATTCGAAGAGGATTTTGCACATGTGCACATGGGCAGAATGTATTGGCCACCCCCCCCCCCCCAAATATACCGATGCTTGCCCACGGAGTATGTAAAATTGCTTTGAAGCGGAGCTTAATAGCAAAGCCTTGAAGTGCCTTCTTCAGAATGCTCAATAAAAACTACTGCTTGGTTTTTCAGAGGCCATCATTGGTAAGAAGTGTTAGTTATGATTTTATTTTCAGTCCTCCAGTTCACAAAATTAGGTTGATTCAGTAAAAGGTCATTCGTGGCGCGATGGCCTTGAAATGGTCGTTAAAGAGAAACCATGAGCATACTCCCGGCAACTATTGTACAATCTTATCCCGCTTAGGTTTACAAATGAGCGTATCTTCCGTAAATTCGGAAAAACAGGGAATTCTTAAGAATCTTAAGCGAGAATCGTAGCCCACAAATTACTAAGGGCTTTTCATAAATTTGTGGGCACTTATTAAATTTTCTTGGCCTCTACCTCTGCCAAAGATACTGGGTGGGTCTCGACATTTCATCGACATTCCCGTTCACTGATATGAGGAATTTGTTCAGAAGGTAAGTTGTGTCTAGGGTATTCAAACGCGCGTGAACATGGGCGAAAAAAAAAATATTGAAGTCAATGTTCACGCGAAAAACGCTGGCATGTTGGTCAGGCTCCAAAACAGGCCAAAACATGCTGGATCACCAAATTAATGCTGAAAACTCGTCATTAGGGGTAATCAGACCCCTTGAACATGAGTGTCGCATCAGTTCGTTTTGATTTTTTTGTTTTTTTTTTTGAGCTTGTGGAATGCTACATGAGCGAAAATAGTGTGATGGCGCCGGCGCAAGTGGCGCGAGCGCCAGGCGTTTTCGCGCTAAACAAATGTGATATTCGTGTTCTACGGGTTGAAATACCCCAAACAAGTTTCTAGCCAAACCCTTAGTCATGGACAAATTTCGATAAAAATCCGGCTCAGTTTCTGACGAGTGGGGCAGTAAAGGGTAAATAGTGCCGGTTTATGGGTGGCAGCTTCACTACAACGGTATTACCGCCGTGCAATCATGGCTACCTCAAGAGATCAATAAAAAAAGACACTGAAGAAACGGATCTGCTTAGTTTTCAACTCACCCCACTCGGATTTTTTCCCGTAACAATAAATTGGCGTCCAAATAAACAAATCACAAAATAAAAACGAACTGCTAGGAAGATGACCTGTAATAAGAAACAATTAAAATAAAGGGGTAACGTGGGCGCAGGTCAAAGGTACATACTTGAGGGTACACAAGCGGCACAGGAACCCAATCATACTTGAGAAGAGCCGCCAGGCCATGTCGGAACTTGCTTATTTCCTAAAACGATGATCTTCGATTTCAACATCTTACTCAACGAAATGAAAAGTGGACGCATCATCCCTAGGCATTCTCTCTTCTTTATAAATGCTGCTAGCGTTTTTTTGAACCACACGATATTGTTCAGTCTCGGATATTTGAAATTGAATATCCAAGCGGCAAGTAAACAGCTTTTCGAATAGGTAAGTTTCTAGCAAGTAAACAGATTTTGGTTTACTTTGCAGCACTTCATGATAGTAACTACTTGGACTATCCTGGTAGTTTTCGACGAGTTTCTCTATTAGACCGATGAATAGGACTGGCTTGCCACGGTCAAAAATGCCTACGTCAACTTGGACGACACGCTTTGCTTTGAGGTTTTTAAAGAACCTTCGAAAGTACTTCGAAAAAGGGGGTGAACAAATGTACAGAAGGTTGAGTGAGGAATTTGGCAGCAACGCCATGACATTATAAATGCTATAACTCTGATCGAGTTAGTTTTATACCGGACCCAGGCACGAAGAGGCGACAGGCGTTCCGTCTCGGTTAGGAAGAATTGGTTCCACTGACATTTTGAAACCCGCTGTTCTCTGTGTACTACACACCTCCTCATAAAACAAGCACTCAATGATCAGAACTTCATACAGTACAGCCTGATGTCACGGTATGTACAGTTCGATAAGTAATAATATTTTTTGAAAATAGAAATCGGTGCTATCGCCAGGTACGGGGCATTGTGGCGACAATGCAGTTGACATCGCTTTTTGTTAGAAACGGGGCTAAGCCTTGGGTAAGGGAAGGGAGACTTCAGAGTGCGTCAGCTATTTCCAATCTACCCGTAATTCCTGCACCCTCCCAGGTTTAGCTCTGTAAGATGCCTCCGTGTACTACGAAAGCGCATCGAAATCTCCCCCTGTGGTAAATGTTTTGAATTATTACTGGTATTCCCCGTTCAAAGAGATTTGTTCGCTCCAGGCTATACATTGCATTCCTTCCATATTCTGTGAACAGAATGAATTGCAGGCTTGCAAAGTAGGAGCTGTAGACGAGCAATAGCCAATTCGGCAACTAAATCGAACTCTGTGTGAGATCTTTCCTTAATGAAGCCTCGCCTGGAGCTCCTCGTGGCCGCATGTCCTGACGTCGAAGTCCGGGAGCATTCCTTCTCCCGTCGCTCGGGTGGCACATGTGCCATGCCGTGGCACTGGCTTCTGCCCAGCGCAGTTTCACGTTCTCGTGCGTGGGTCGATAGGGGCAGTGAGAACTATCGCACTCCGTGCCCTGACCTAGTCCAGTCAGATCCTGCCGCAGGTCTATCGCATCTGCAGGCTATGTAGGAAGAGGGAAGCACCAGGGCCTACGTGGAAAAACTGTGGTTCGATAGCAATCCATCGCATGGTGAGCGCAGTCTGATACCGTATTACAAGGCTAAAATAAATAAAACTTAAGCTCACGTCAACGATTTTATTCATGAGGTAGTAGTCGGCAATCTTGCCATTGGCCTTGCATTCGTACACCAAATTGACGCACCATTGAATCGGCGCCCAGTACCTGAACAGTGTAGCTTAAGCGTATGTATCGTCCATTTCGTAAGGTATGAGTAATGAAAGAATTGAGAAGCCGTTATTCCATTGGAGCAGAAGGAAGGAGGGAGAGCTGAAACTCAACATCGCACTTTATTTGAATGGCTTAAAACAACTAAATGATGCTGCCTTTAGATTTGCACGTCGACCTAATTCAAAATAACTACGTTACATATTACAAGGAGAGGGGAGAGGAAGAGAAAGCTGCGTCATCATCTATTGTTACAAGTGAATACAAATGAATGGTGGTTGGCGAGGGTCAAAGGATCGAAAAACAAAAGGAGCGTCTTTTCAGATGTTGCTGGATCGTGGTTGCGGAAGATGCGGGAGAGGAGAAATGATCGTTTTGTAGAGTTTTGACGATTATAGGAAAATTTTCATGGAAATAATGCAAAATCGAAAGAATCGTCGTTGCTTGACCCACTCGATGTCCTTAGGAGGAAATAGTGCACGGAGTTGTGCGCTTTCGAAGGGTCTCAGAATCAATTAAATAATATGGAATTGGCGAAATGGTTATGATGAGTAAGGTTGTGGTCGGGGTGGTAGGGTGAGAGGATGGGGAGTGCCGTGGGATTGTGGACTTATAATGGCCGACGGTTGGTGATGTCGGGGTCGTATCGCATCCCTTCGTAGGGGATGTTGTGAATTTTTTGAAAAAGTACCAACGCTAAGGTTGATTTAAAAAGAGTAACAGTGAACGAATTGAATGAAAGGCGCCCATACTGCACAGTGGGAGATATACAAACGTCTATCACCTCCTTTCACAATTACCCTTCACTTCTGAAGACCGGGATATCATAAAAAGACTCGTCTCTAGTTAGAAATCTTTTCTTCACCATCCTCCGATGTCTGGTCTTTCTTTCCTACAAATTTAAGGATCACTTCAAGGTCACAGGATAAATACTCGTATATTCGCATAGTTATCGCTAATTTAAGAAGCCGGTAAGAAGAGATAGTGGAAGCGTTCAGCATCGAATGGGACTAGGACCCACAGTCTTATATCACGGGGATTACTCTGCTTATCTTTCGCACTGCGGACATCCTACTGGGGTCAGCCGTTGCTTTTCCACTTTTTAAAAATTTTTCGACCCCTCCCCCCTTCAGGGGGACTCGATGCGATCCCTCATCACATCCATCGGTCTCAGAAGGCTTCCCCAATAGGGCACCTCTCTGCCGAGCCCGATCACCACCCTCACCATCATGGCTGTTTCTATGGCATCTGATTCTGAGATCAGCCGACACTCCACACATCCAACCCCGCCCACTTTTTTCTCCGATGCGGTCGGACCTATGTGCAAGAACCGCTTTATATCTTATGCTAAAAAACCAAGACAGATTACTGAAACAGCAGTACCGCTAAGAAGCTCTTTTTAAATCTGACCCACCTGCTATAAGGGTCCTTGATTTCATCCAGGATCTCCATTTCCTCCTCAGTCATCAAGCCTGAAACAACAACTTAAATTGTACAGAATTTTTTTATTCCTACTCGATGTTTTCGGAATTCGCTGAAGACATTTCGATATTTCAGATGGGACACTCCCCTCCTCTGGAGGCTTAGTAGAGAACAAATAGACCCTTCTATCGCATGATTCTTCTTTGTTTGATTTACACAGGAATTGCGAGAAGATGCCTGTCCACCACCTTGTTATATATGGCAGCACGTCAGAGCTCGGTACTGGAAAACATAAGAGTGGCGGAATGGAGAGCCTGTGGCCGAGCATTCTTAGAAAATTGCACTTTAAAAGCGGTTGAAGGCGGAAGCCCTCGTCTGAATTAGTAAATTGTCATCCGCTCAGGCTGGGCTTAATTACGCTAAGGCATTAACGCTTCAGCTAAATCAACCCCGATATTTGTGCACATGTTCCCGTTTGCGTACCACTGCACTTCTCGGAAAAAGGCTGTATTTTGACGAGGAACCTCAGACATTGGTCTTTGAAGGCGGGACTTACGGTTAAAGGGTAACCCATTAGAATCAAGGTAATGGCGATCAGTGAGGCTGGGATGAAGAAAAACCGTGAGAAACGGTCTAGAACCCGAGAAATGGAAACCCTTGTTTGCCCGTTGATTTTCGCATTGATGCGACTCTCATCGCCTCTTCAACGCTACGCTCTCTCTGCTAGACGGCTAGAGGCTGCGGTGAGTGGTTAGACAGTCGGTGGATCGTGCCGTGTCTTCAGCGGCGCGGAGCCGGTCAGATTGTTCGCTGCGATTGCATATCGGTCCGCACATTTGGTGATCCATCCCCCTTTTCAATAGCTAAGTCTTAAGGCTTCGTGGCCGCATAGCTCACTAGCTTTATCTTGCATTACGATAGAGGTGCACTCGAGGAGTGGCGACCATCCGATCCGTTCAGGTTACCTCGCAGCAAGAATGAGGTACCCTCCCTTTCAAAAAACGAGAAGAGCGTCGGGTGCAGACCATACACCACAAGTGACGACGGCCTCCAAGTAAATCTGGTTAGTAGTGTTCATAGTGATAGCTGATTTTTGGTAAATGATAGTTGTAATTAGTGACAACTGATAGAATACAACTGCAACAGGCTAATCATTTCATTGGCAGAAAACATTTACATTTTGTCACTTGCGGTGTATGGTCTGCACCCGAAGCTCTTACCGTTTCGTTTTTTTAACGGTAATATAGCTACCAGTGGGTACATCGGATACTGTTTCGAGATCAAAATCGTAATGCCACGCGACCGCGGCTCCTCTCCCTGCTCACTTATTACCCTTGTGAGTTGTGAGGAAGATGCAGTTTACTTTGCAAGCAAAACAACAATGACTGCGCGTTTTGTGTGACGAAAAACCCTCCTTTACCGCGATAATAACACGCTTCACTATACCTGTACTTACACGATAAATTGGAGGTCGAGTTAGTGGAATTGCACATAATTCAAAGGGATGCAGGCTCCCTGAGGGAGAAAAATGATCCCCAATCAGGGCGGGTAGCGCCTTACAGGATCTCATCTGCGGCACTTTCGGCTCCGCCCACCAAGCGGACGTGCGGTAAGAGCAGCCTATTGAATGGTGATACCAATACCCCAATGGTTTGCGCTTTATCTACGAAACATTCTTTGAAGCGGCTGCACCTGTTGAATTTTTTGCAAACAAGCTCATTCTGGTCAAAGGCTCGTTTCAAGGGGAAATCAACGGGCAAAGAAGAAGTGTCATTTCTCTGTTTTTTGACCGTCTTTGTTGTTTTTTCACCGCAGCAATTGACCACCTATGTTTTTTTTTCTTTTGCAGCGGGCTGGTGTTTCATGATTTCACCTTTAGCAGCCCGCCAGTGAAGGAAGTTCAATGAACAATTTCAGTACAACATATCACTTGCCTGACGCAGCAAGGGTGTCCATTGTAGGAAACCGCTTACGCACTTGCATAGAAATATCGCGAAGAACTAATGCTTGGCATAAAACCATGTACCTATAATGGAAATATTTCTTTGCTAAGTATAGCAAGGGGTAGCGTAATTCTCCGACCTAACAAGATTTCTCCGTAAAACCCTTGTTGACTCTTCACCTCCTCGTATGTAAGACGCAAAAAGAATCGACGCACTGAAATCGGTGGTATAGGAATTTATGCAGAAGTTGAAAAATAAATAATTGCAACAAATATAAATAAGTAAATAAGGATGACGGATAAACGCTCGGCGCTGATCAAGCTTTTTTGGTATACGCCACGCATGCAACTTCCACTCAAAATCGTAACGACATTTTGAGTGTGATCCGGCCTGAACCACGGCTTCTAGGAGCCACCTCATGTTTATGTCAGTCAGTGTTCTATCTTTCAAGGAGAGTCTGATTTCAACTAGCCCGGATTCAAGAAAAACGGGCTTGGGAAACACTCGATCAAAGATCTGACCCTCCGCGCCACTTGTCGCTACATCATTCCACCTAATGTGTAATAAATATGACGAATTTACCAGGTGCCAACAACTATCTCATAAGTGCGGGCGTTGGCGGCTTTAACTAGAATGTTTAAATCTTAAAAGGATGATGAATCGCAAGTATTTACCTACTTCTCGACCGCTATTCGTCTCGGGCACGCCAGAAACGCAGGTCGCACATTTCCAATCCGCTCTGCTTCGGGCTCTTCTGCGCCACAGCTGGCCGTACATCTTCACGAGAGGGTCTGCCCATCGGGTGGGGGTCTGCCTCTGGGCCTTGTTTTCCCCCTTGGGTACCAGTCAGTCACTCTCTTCGTCCAGCGAGCATTGGTGAGTCTATCCACATTACCGGCCCACCTCCGCCGCTTCGATTTATAAGTTTTCACCAAAGACAAATGAATCCTCAACTATTTTTTGAGTACATGCCAAACCAAAAGTAATACCTGCGAGTTGTAAGCCATCTACAAATCGCGAATGCTCCTTTCGTTGTGAGGATGATTGTGAATATCTAGAGGACTTACTCGTCGATCCATCCGATCCCGTTCAGAATTGAGCCCCAACGTCCAACGACGAATGAAACGAAGAAGCCCAGCATGAACGTGAGCGGTATGTTCGAGTCGAGCTTCGAATCCAAGATACTTCACCAAGTGCTCGAACCAACTGAAATCAGACTGTGTATATTATTCGCGAATAGTCGAAAAGAGACACAACAAAGCGTACTCCACAGTAATTCTACAAAGAATAAACCTTCTGAGCAGGAAGCTTCAAATCGACTGTGTGGCACATGGGTCAACTGGCACATGTGCACATTTTCGGGAAGCAAGAACGTTCAACACCATGCTATTTGTTGTCGTAATCGAGTGATATGCTCGGCTAACAGCGTGCCTTTGAAATCCTTACTTTTGCTGATCCGGGCTGAGAACATAGCGGTACACACAGCTGACGAGTAGAAACGCTGCCGTCCAGATTAACAGTTGACCGCAGACGGCCTAAAAAGTTTATGAGCTTTATCGGAATTTTCTTCACAAACATCTAACGAAAGATCGTTGGTAGCTGCAAATGCCCATATTTACCACCTTGAAAGTATGTACATTCCACAACCCTTGAATATTGACACCTCCTCCGTAAGGTGGGGCGGTCGAAAATAGTAGAACACGGCACCACTGCCAATCGTCAATTTTTTTCTGTGTGGGGCAGCGATGATATACATTAGCCAACAGAGCTATGATTTCGCTGAATGTGGGAGTATTGAGAAAGAAAAGACCGAGGCATGTCACGCTGGAGATCCCACTGATATCAAGAATATCCTCCTCCCTCTCCTTTCTGGCCTACGCCTTGCCTCGTGCCCACAGCCCAACAAGGACCATACTCTTCGTACTTGTTTTTGATGCCTTTCTTCGCTTTTTGCTGCTAGTGATTCACGCGTCCCTACCACCATCGTTAACTTCGATAACGCACAAGTACGCCATCGTATTATAGAATGTGTTGTTATAGTTTGTGTGATAGGAATGTCGTTTTTGTTCATATGAGAATTTCTTCTCCAAAGTTCCATTTTTTACATAAAGGATAAGGATAAAGCATTTGCCGTTGATCAATCCCTTTTTGGGATGCGGCACGCATTCTACTTCCATTTGTACATTCGTAGTGGCGTTTGAATGCGATGTGGCCAATTAACCGACCCCGGAGGGATGGAAGGCTTGGTTGGCCCGGGCGACTCACGACCCAGGATTTGATCCCCGGACCGCTCGCGTGGTAAGCGTGCCACTTGCCACTACACCACTTCCGCCCATTTTTTGCATAATGGTGCATATCTTTCGAATGATAAATTCGGCTACAACAGTGTTCGCTTCTTTTTTTACATACAGTACCGCGCAGTGATGTATACCTCTTCACTTTTTTGGCGCACGAAAGCATGGATGGGCTTATCACTCAGGATGGAAAGTGGATATCGTTTGCACATATGAAATTGCAATGGCTACAAGTGGGCCTGAAGCCCCAACCGTTTCAAAGCGGAATGACGCCAAGAAAAAGATGATCTCATTTTTTTTACTCCACTGGCTGCGTATACTATGAGATCCTACCCGAGGGTACTGCGGTGACGGCAAGAGTATTCTGTGAACAACTGCGAGAGATGGTGTCCCGAGCCCCCATTTCACACCAACTACAAGGGAAGTTTCTTTGTGATGGACAATGCTCGACCACACCACGCGAGGACGACGACGGAGGAGCTGGAAAGACTTGGTATCACCTGGCTACCCCACCCTCCATATTCACCTGATCTTAGCCCTTGCGACTACCATGCTTTCAGAAGCCTGCAGGCCTACACCAAAGGGAAAAAATTCAACAACCGTCAGGAGGTCAAGCATGCAGTAGATGAATGGATCGCGTCACGCCCCTCTTCCTTCTGGAAGAAGGGCATCAGTGCTCTGCCCATCGATGGAGGGACGTCGTGGCTAAAGAGGGCCACTATCTTGATTATTGATCTCAGGTTTTTGTTGTAGTAATTTTGTGTTAAACGAACCAACTGAATTTTGCCAAAACTCTAACACTTCAATAGTTCAAAATATCGCTTGTTTTAAACAACCAAAAAGAAAAAATTCGGAAAGAAACACGGAGACTAACTGGACAACCTAATAGCAGGATGTTCAGAAGGGGACATGACCGAGCACATGGTGCGTAAAAATTAAACATAAAACGTAAAAAATATCTTTGAATCACAGAAAACTTTCAGACGTTTAGTTCTGGAAACATTTTGTTCCATTACTGATGGTAGCATGTCAAAAAATCGGCCAAATGACATGAGTTTATGGCAAAAAAAAACGTCTGCGGTGTTCTCTTTTTTGATGGTACTGTGGGCTTAATTTTAACTGAAACGACAGTAAGATGGCCTTTTTGTGGTCCTTCGGAAAAAGAGACAATCGAGACTCGCTAACCTTCCATACACTTCCTCGCCATCGACATAGTAGTCTCACAAAACTTTGAATGTTCGTTTGAGAGACATCGAGAGTATACGATATTGTCATGTCCAACTATATCCGTCGCGGTCGAAGCATTTCACTGGAAATCGTCATATCAGAAAACTTTCGTTTCCGAGGCAAAACTGTGAGAGATGCGATAACGGAAGTAGCATAGAAAACATGGTGAGAACATTGCCCAAAACAAACAAGTGAGGAATAAGCACTTTTTAGAGGATTTCATAAGCGAAGAAAGGCTAGTGATGCCCCAAATTGGAAGATAGTCGCCCTTTTCCCTTGTGTTGAATCCACCCCCCCCCCTCTTGTCCAAGCATAAACAGCGCTTGAGATTAGAACAACGTTCTCTCGAGGAAGAGGACAGAGCCCGAGACAACGAGAAGAAAAGCAAGAGAACTGCATCTTTTTCAGTCATTGGGTGTATGGGACATGAAAGAGTCCTGTTCAATACGTTTTTCAGAACATCGCAGAACTATCAAACAGCGTTAGCTGAGCAAATAAAAGCAAATGGTATGACTTCGGGCAACCAAAGTAATATTTACAACGTACGTGATATATCTGTCCGTGTTGAGCAATCTTCTCCCCAACTATCTCACAAGAGCCATTAAATGAATGAATCTTTTTAGAACCCGAATCAGGGGACGAGCAAACCCAAGGAGCAGAGGTGTTACAGTACAACTTCACCTCGTACTTCTCATAATCTTAGCCAGGTTTCCACCGGACTGACGTTGATATTTTTTGTACCTTTCAAGATTGGCACAGGAAGTTCTTGTAGCTTCACTTGTTCTGTGAAAATGTGATCAATAAACAATCGTCAATATTTAGTAGCCACCCTGTATTTGTCTGGTTTCATTGTTTCATCATCCTTATTTGATGAAAGGTTCCTCTTCATTCAAAACCATCGACATTGTTCTGCTGATGCGAAGTGGACAGAATTTTTCCACCAAGACCTTAAGAATGCACCGTCAGAACTACAAGCAAATCCGAAGTGAAGTTCACTCAGTGGTCGTCCTCGTGGAGGTGGCCAAGTTAATGAAAGTTGAAAATGATCGTAAATATTGTTCAAAGTATGTACATGCCAATTTGGTAAGAAGCATGAGAAACGCTTGCCACAGATTTGAAAGGATCAGATTAAAAAAGGGAAAAAACTCGGGTAGCAAGCCGAGCACATTTTCAGGCGAACGAAGACCAGAACAGGTTTCTAGGATGTGCGGAGGGAATACAAAAACAAAGTAGAAAAATATCAAGGGCTCCTGGCGTGAGCCGCGAGCGGAGCCCTTAGAAGACGACTTTGAGAAATAGTTCAAAATTTTGGTTGATTAGGTTTCACTCGAGGACTCACCTGTAAGTAGTGAAACTTCTAAGGAAATTATGGGGACAGAAAATTTTCAAATCGAATGAGAAATCATAGCTCAGCGATGAATAGAACAGCATGAACAACCATTGGCTTTCTTAGACGTGGAAGTAACATGTTCAGCCAAATGTTATTCAGTATAGAAGTTCGGGAAAAGCTCCTGCCAACATTATTGCTCAAAGCACCAGCAATGGGGTATTTCGGTAGGGACTGAATTCGGTAAAATGCCTCATGCCAAGCTCATTTCCCCCACTTCGGGTCGGAAACAGATTGTCCAATCAATCTCCCCAGCTTGAATGCAGTATGTAGGTTATTCAATGTAGTTGACGTTTCAGCTGAAGAAGTGCACGAAAGAACACAGTTTAAATGAGAGCACTAAACCTCTCCTCTAAAACTAGCGCCCGATGAAAAGTTAAGGAATTGCATGCGGCAGAAAAGACGGAGTCCATTGAAGGTAATGCCAGGTTTGTGAACAGTAATATTCAATAACAACTATTGAACAACGTTTGTTAAGATTAAGATATGTTAAATATGCCGCCGTTGCTACGCCGATTCAGTCTCCGCTTTCGACTGGACCACACTTACTTGTCACCATTTTCTATGCCCCACTCTGTAGTCAGCGCAGAGGCTATGAGAGATATCTGTCACCTTGCAAGCGGGAAAGTCAAGCACACCAGCGCCATTTGCGTTTGATGGGGCCGTATGCTTAAAGTGGGGGAGGGTATGGGGACCGCGAAAGTTGAAGGACTTCTTCAACCTAATTCTTACATTTGACGCTTCCCTCACCACTGAGCATTCAGAGATAGAATCGGAACGAGGAGTGCAGATCTTCCCTCTCTCCATGGTTTAGTCCTGGGGTGAGTAAACGAGCCCCTTTGGCGGAGCGGCCGGACTGCACCACTTCGTCATCACTCTCCTACCGTATCGAGGCGAAGTTCAAGTAGTGCCGCGTCGAGCTCGGGACCCATCCCCTTTCCCGAGATTCAGTGTACGCCCACAGGGTCAGCCCTACGTTGTTGAGTAACAACGGGGGGTCGTACCCTCTCGGTGGCCGACAGTGGGATTCTTGGTAATATCGGATAATAGCCAGCACGTTACGTTTTCGTAAGATGACTGATACTAGAGCATCTATAAACCAACGCTTCCCTCTAAATGAGCTTTCAAATGAATCAGCGAATTAGAAGGGCGCCCGAGGCGTGGCGCGCACCAAGGCAAGGGATGTAGTGCAAGCGCATGCTCGGAGCTTTCTAGCACATCCTAAATTAAACATAAAATTGGTCTTCCAAGAAGTTACGGGCAGTGAAACCTAAGAAAACTCGCGTTTTCGAGAAAATGGCTTGAAGAATACCCCTCAAAATAAAAAGTAACAACGGGCTAATTTTTGAACTGCTGATCTTTCAGAAACGCTTGGGTGCTCGTAGAAAGCTTGAAACCTGTGGTTTATTACACCGTGTTCAGCTTCCCAAATGAATGACTTTGAAGGAAGTTATGATCGTTTGAAGGTCAAAAAGTCGCGGTTCCAAAAAAATAGTAACGCAAACCCCCAAAAAAGTAACAACGGGACTAATTTTTGAACTACTGATCTTTCAGGAACGCTTGGGTGCTCGTTAGAAAGCTTGAATCCTGTAGTTTATTATACGTGTTCAGCTCCCAAATGATGACTTTGAAGGAAGTTATGATCGTTTGAAGGTCAAAAAGTCGCCTTTGCACAGAAAAAAGTAACAACGTACAAAATTTTTACTAAATTGACTTCCGAAGAATTTTTACCCATGGTTGGATAGAAAATAATTTGAATTTTCCAAATCAAATCACTTCGGCGCTGAAGCTCGAATATGAAGGAAGTTATAGCCCTAGAAAGAGGAGTGTAAAAATTCTCTTGCAAATCTGTACAAATCGCGCGTATCGGATTTATGTCGCGGATTTTGCTAGTTTAATCTCTGATGACTCAAGTAGCAATAAATATTGACGCTAATCTGTCTCTACACAAGTGTTACATACAAAGGGGGGGGGGTCGTATCAAATCACCCATGAAGGGGGGGGGGTCGTAAAAAATTTCCGAAGAGTAACAACGATAGGGTTGACCCTGGTACCGCCCCAACAGAAACGCCAAAAGGGCTGGTTTACATACCTCCTTGCAATGCCATGGAGGCGGAATGCGCGCTGCTTCTCACCATAACTTTCAACGTTAATTGGGATTGGGCTAAGCCTCTTTTCGCTATGAAACAGACCCTATTCTGCAACGAATTTTGACCCAAACAGGTCAAAAGCTATGGCTGCAGTTAGCAGACCGACTAGGTTAAACTTACAAACAAGATGAGAGCATGTGGATGAAGGAACTGATATGCACGGCCAGATCAATGAAGGAAAGTTGAGAAAAAGTCGGAGGTCTGATGAGCTCTCAACTCGAGGAATTCCACAAGCTGTGAGAACAATTTTGACGAGAAAACGCCGTTTATTTGTATCGATATCAGGTTACCCCGGCAGTTGTAGCTGATCTATTGTGCAGATCCCCAGGTATTTCACGAGATACGCATCTACGCATTCAACTGCTAAAGATTGCCGAAATAGTGCTGTGGCTGTGGGCTGTGATGAAAACATCAGTAAGGAGTAAGGAAGGAGCATGAGCCGCTTATAGGCATTGACTTCCAGACAAAGTTTTCGTCATAAATCGTCATTTTGCCATAATTTCTGCGATAATGACCTACACGAACCGAGGGGTGGATTGATGTATAGCCCACCACAAGGAAGCACATGCTGTATTATTCTCTAGAACTAAAGCCAAGCGCTCGGAAAGCGGGTTCCAAGTTGGCTGTGCGAAATTAGCTGCACCGGCCAACTTGGAACCCATTTTCCGACATAGATTCAAATCTCATTGATTCAAGCAAAGCAGTAGGAAGATATTGGAAAAGGTCGTGGATCAGCAATCATTTTCACGTGTAACAAAATTCGAATAGCAGAATTTCATCACAACGGATTACTTGTTTTCTATCAATTAGGACAAATTTGAGTAATTTTCTATCCATTTTTACCATACTAATCACCGGTTCCAACCCGGCGTATCATGAAACTCTTGTCTACTGCGGTTTTGATGAAGTCACTGCGCTCAGAGCGCTGGAGGGTGTGGTTAGGACAATCTTTCCGAACCTTTCCTCCTACACGACCAATGACGTCATCAAAACCGCAACGCCATCATCACTGTCTACAGCCAATCCCTCAAAAGGTGTTTTCATGGCGCAGAAAAGGTCCCTCCCTTCGGTATCATTTCGATTACATAGTGCCATCTTTTATCGACTATTTCTTGAAGACACAAAACTATGTCCGCTCAACAAATGCGCCATGCACTCCAGTTACATTCAGAATCGTAGTCACATTTGAAGGTGATTTGGCTTATTCAGTGAATTGTGAGAGTCAGACGATGTACAAAGCAGTGCTCTTCAGCAACGAGAGACATCGCTTACACTAGAATAAAGGAATAAAAAGCTCGGTTGTTTCAAGGGTGTGGGGAGATCACCAGGGATGGTTGTAAAGTCCCCTCTACTGGCAATCGAATGTGGTGATTTTCGCCGATTGACGAGGAGCAAGGGACGTGGAAACATGGACTTGCCCTTTCCAATACCGTGCTATGACCCATTGGCAGTTTGAAGTTGGCCAACCCCAAAAAGTCCTCCGAAGGACTTTTTGCTGCGCGTAACGGGCG